CGGGAGGGAGGGAGGTGGCGTTGCAATTGCAGTTTCTAATAAGTTGAGTTCCCGAAGAATGGATCACTTGCAAAGTAATTGTGAAGATTTATGGATAACTCTCGACGTTCCCGCAGCGACAGCTAGTCCAAAAATACTGCTTTGTGCTGTATACATTCCGCCACCGGTGGGGAGGGCTACGCTGGATGAGTTCATATCAAGTTGTAACAATATTATTGACAGTTGTGATCATCCTATCCTTATATTGGGGGACTTTAACTTACGCCGTATCAATTGGAAAGAAGTGAATAATAACTTGATTAGTAGTAATGTTTCAAAAACGGAGGAAATGTTAATAGATTTTGCAAATGTAGCTGATATCAAACAGTATAATTTTGTATATAACCATCAGGGTAAAACCCTTGATCTCGTTTTGTCCAATGGTCTTCCATGTCATGTCTCTGAGGCTGCAGTGCCTTTTGTTCAAGTAGATCCTTTCCATCCACCCTTAAATATTTCTCTTGAATTCAATTCCAAGAAAAAGACTACAGAAGCGTCGAATGCCCCACGATCTAATTTTCGTAAGGCTAACTACACTAAGATTAACAGCTACCTTAGTGAACAGGATTGGCCAAAATTATTCACTGGCTGCAAAAATGTCAATGAGATGGTGCATATATTTTACACAATTTTACGGGAGGTGATTTCAAAATTTGTACCGAAGATAAAATTGAAAACAAAAAGATACCCTATTTGGTTTAGTATAGATCTCATCAAGCTATTGAAAGAAAAAGAAAAAGTGCGATCTCGATTTAAGATATATAAAAACCCATTAGACGAAATTACTTACAAACTTTTGAGCAAAAGATGTGACAGGGAATCTTTAGCTTGCTACAATTCATATATCGTGTCTGTAGAAAATGCTATAGCAGATAATCCAAAATATTTTTGGTCATATTTTAAACATAAAAAAGATGGGCAAAGTATTTATCCGACCACGATGTCTGACGAAATAAATACATCGAGTGACGATACTAAAATTTGTAACATGTATGCAACTTATTTTTCAACCGTATACTGTGGGCATCAAGGGGAACGATATAAGCCAGACTTCTACGTCTCTTGTGAATATCTTTCAAACATTGCACTTGATAGGCACCAAATAGAGTCAAAGTTGAAAAAGATAGATAAAAACAAGGGACCAGGTCCAGACGAGATTCCGCCATTTTTCATAAGTGAGTGTGCATCTAATTTGGTGGATCCATTAAGTCAAATATTTGATAGTTCCTTAAAAACGGGTACGTTTCCTGATGTGTGGAAGAAAGCAAAGGTGGTTCCCATACATAAGCATGGCGATAAAACCTTAGTCAAAAGTTATAGACCTATATCTATATTGAGTGCTTTCTCGAAAATTTTTGAGTCCCTTCTGTGTCCAATTTTACAAAACCATATGAAACATTTAATATCTCAAAATCAGCATGGTTTTGTTACGGCTCGGTCAACATGTACTAATCTAGTCTCATTTACGGAATTTTTAGCCGAATTAATAGACTCGCGTAAGCAAATAGATGTTATATACGCAGACTTAAGTAAGGCATTTGACCGAGTCACACATAGCATCTTAGTCCATAAACTTTCAGTATATGGGATAGCGGGACCACTTTTAAATTGGTTTAAGTCATATCTAGACTCAAGATCCTTTTATGTTGTTATGAATGGGGCGAGGTCGAGTGAACACGTCATTACATCTGGCGTGCCTCAGGGCTCTCATATTGGGCCCATCCTATTTAATTTCTTCATTAATGACATTTCAGAAAGCTTCCAGAACTCTTGCCCATTCCTATATGCTGATGATCTCAAAATTGCAAGATCGATTGAATCTCACAATGATACTCTGTTGCTCCAAGCTGACATTGATAGACTTTCGGAATGGTGCATTAACAATAACATGAGTCTCAATATCCAGAAATGCTTTTACATGAGATTTTCTCGCAATCGCAAATGTGTTCCTTCCTCTTACTCTGTGTCAGGCGAATTAATACAGGAAGTTCACCATATTAAGGATCTGGGTGTTATATATGACAGTAAGCTCACATTTGGTCTGCACATGGATCACATAATTAAGAGAAGTTCCAAAATGTTGGGTTTCATTATGAGAAATGGAAAATTATTTCGCAAAACTGAAACTAAAAAATTACTGTATAACAACTTTGTTCGTAGCACTCTTGAATATTGCAGTGTAGTATGGCGTCCACATTTTTCAACGCATAATCTAAGGTTGGAAAGACTTCAAAAGAGGTTTCTGTGGCATTTGGCACGCTTTTCGGGAATTGCTAATAGGATTAGAAACTATAGTGACAGACTATTCTACTTCAATATGATGCCATTGAATAAGCGACGTGACTTGTTGGATCTGCAGTTTCTATACAAACTTCTCAGGAACAAAATTGACTGTTGCCAACTACTAGGAAAAATAAAATTCAACGTTCCCCGTAGAAACCCACGGCTCGCCATAAAACCATTGATCCCACCCTTGCGTAGAACTGTCCTAGGCGCTAATTCCCCAATACCTCGTTTGTGCAAACTCCTCAACAAATATAGTCGGACCTTAGATGTCAATAACGATTCGCTGGCAAAGTTCAAACAAGGATTTCTGGAGGCTTATGAGACATGACATGCATGTAAATGTTAAGCAATAAGTGACAGTTGATAGAAACATAAGACTTAAAGCTTAATATAACACAAATTCTAAAATAAAAATGAATATATGATCGGTTACTTTATGCATGACTCTGTTATTAGTTTTTATATAAGTAATCTTTGTTATTATTATAATATATAAAAAAAAATGTTCACTTTACCTAATATATGTAAGTGCATGCAGTGTTGGCCTTTAACTGGTTAGCACATTTAACATTAAATTTAGTAGATAAGATTTATTGTAAGTTTCTATGTAGCAACCGTTGGCTGACCTAAATAAATAAATAAATAAATAAGCACAGTTGCTCAGGCGTGAAAAAACGTTAATTTTACCGTGAAAGCACAGACTTGGGCTTTCTTGGCAATGAATTCAACCAAGTTCTTGGTACCGCATTCCGAAATGCAGTCCAAATCTTTATTGAGTTCAATGACAAGATTCTCCCGTTTCTCTTTGGTTTCTACCTGTCCAACGGCTGCGTATCCAAAATATCCCGCATGCACTGTATTATCGTCTGCATAGCAATGAATATTCTCAAGAGGAATTAAATCATTGAATGCAGCAAAAAGAGTATAGGGGATAGGACGGAGTCCTGAGAAACACCGGCATTCACTGACATGAACTGCGAACTACATCCGTCGCCGTCCGTTGACGTTCATGCAGGAAGTCAGCCACTCAGGCACAGAACTGAGTAGGCAGACCGTATCCAGGAAGCTTGGAGAGAAGACTTATGTGCCAGACCCTATCAAAGCCTTGGCGATGTTAAGGCTGATAGCCAAAGACTCACCTCGCTTATCGATAGCCTCACCCCAGATATATGTCACGTACGCTAGAAGGTCACCTGTCGATCGATTCGATCTATCCTCTTTTACTTGCCTCAAATATAACGCAAACATATTATATATATATATTTTGCAAAAAGCGACAGATTTGTTAGTTTTTACTTCATCTAGTAAAATTAACATATCTGGTAATATTCAAACAGTCAAGTCAAAGCCAATTACAGGATACTCACAGGATATTTTAAGTGTCTACATGAAAAATGAGTTTAAATCCGAAACTTGGTTTCAACAATTAATACGTTTACAAATTTAAGTGTTTTGAATGGGTTTATTAGGTTTTAAATCAAGAATTTTGGAAATAATTTGCAGTTATTTTGTTTATTCATTAGCTATTTCAGGAAGTATGCGTCGTAGAGCTTAATGGGTTTTACCTGTAGATGCGGCTTAATGAGACGGGTCGATTGGTATTATAAAAGTTCAGTAGCGGAAAAGTGCAGATAATCGGTTTTGGCACTAAGGGGACGATTTACTAATAATAAACTTCTCGCTTTCTAAACGCGCTTTGTTCGTTATTTTGAAAATGCACATATTAATAATTATAATTAGTAATAATATTTAATAGGAGTAACAATTAATTAATTCTTCATTAATAATTCTTATTAAAAAATAATTAACAAAAATACTTACAAAGAATAAAGACATTTATTTAAATTCAAAATAGGGAACCCTTCTACTACAAAGGCGATGTTCTTGGCTGTATGATTTCGGTGGTAATTTTTTACCATTTCGGTAGACAATTTTCATTTCAGTGGACTGCCGAAAACTCATCCTTAAATATTTCAGTAATTGGTGATTGTTGAATTTGCCCCGTAGGATCGTTTAAAAATGGGAAAAAAAAAACCATAAACAATATTTTTTATTTTTTTATTTTGCACCTTTAATTGCATTTTGTGTAAAAACTATGGGAGATACGCGAAAATAAGTTGATACCTTTTTTGTAGGAAATTAAATTTTCTACAACTTTGTGCTACAAACTTTTTCTATTTTTCCAGCCAGTCGCGAGATATTGACGAAAAACTCGTTTTTGCACCATTTCGCATTTTTTTTCACCATTTGCCGTCAATGCAGCACCCTGCAATTTTAGTATATTAATCTACGAACCCTTGCAGAAATTTTCGCGTTGGTTGCAGGTGATCAACTCAAAATGGCAAAGTTAAGCCTTCATTGACTGGACTACAATGAATGTCAGCTATTAAAAATTTGAGCTTAGAAAAATGATTATGTTCCCATTTTTTCCGAATAAAACGGAACTGCGCGTCACTGTGGCATGGCCTATTATGTTTAGGATATGGTTCTTTTGTGTTAAAATACGATCTAAATGTAACCTTTGATTTCATGTGCGTATTAATAAACTTTAAAAGTTACAATTTAGGACCTCACTCAACAGTGGCGCCATCTGGTGAGGCAGAAAACGGTAGCCCTCATTGCACCTTGATTTTATTTAACTGAGAAAAAAAACATTCATTAAGGGGTTAAATATTTTATTTTCGCAAGTCTTCGGAAGATATTCCATATTTCTTCTTAAGGGCATCAATTTCTTCCTGTTTCTTTTCAATATCCATACCTTTGAATGCTTTATTGGATCTGTAATATAATACCACCAAATATCTATTACAGACATTGAAGCCAGAAAGGTGATCACAGGCATTTTTTGCATCAAAAATGTCCTCATATACCACGAAAGCAGTCCCTCTTGTTTCAGGCGTATTTCCTCTGAAAAAAAAAACCTAATTTATTAAATTGTATTTCACCCTTGAAATAACGCTTCTGTCTAAGTGTGTAGAATGATTTGATAAATAAATTTTGGATTATTATCCAAAAATGAGAGAAAAGACAATGGCGTAAATACGAGTCGCCTCAGTAAGACTGCGAAAAGGTTCGTTAGCTAATTATAAATACTCTTGGGTTTTCGGGTTCACACTAGGTTTACAGTTGGTTATTGTGGTCAGAAAAAGAATCGTTAACAGTAAGATTGAGCAATGTTAAAGTCGTTGTTTATTAATCCGCGTTGTCACAAAAACCCTAGAATTCTCGCAAAAATTCGTTTTATCAAATAATCCTACGAAATATACAGTAGTTATGACCTTGTGCCAACGCTTATCGCTGCTAAGACTTGGTTTTTTTACTTTTTACGGATTATTCCCAGCGGACCCCATGCCTCCGACCCCATGTGTGGTCAGTTGTGAACTTAAATTAATTTAAAGCCCATCTACCCCCATGAAAATTCGGTGGGGTCCGATGAGACCAAAAAATTCCTACATTCCGTCTCATTTTATGCCTTGTTGAAACTATTTATCGAAAATACTTTTTTATTTAACGCAAATACTAACTTATCGATAATGTTCATATTAAAATATTATATTAAGTAAGTACAGTAATATTCCTATTGATAAATTCCTTTTGAGCAGACTGTATAAAACGCTCAGAATCAATCGTTATCTAGGATTTTAACTTGACAACCCAAAGTGAGCGCTTTTGGGTTCTCAATAATTTGATAATATTCCACCCTATGATGTTTTAAAATTATAGATACGTCACACACGCTTCCAGTTTGGCAATACGAAAGTCAGGTAATTGCCCGACCTGGCACACTCTCTTGCCGCGCCTACACTTCGCTTCAACGTTGAATTTTTCCAGACAAAAAATGTGTGTTCTTAGATAGTACACAAAATACACGGGAACTATTAGAGACAGGAAGAACGTGTAATTTTTTTTAACACACACCAATTAGCCTAGCCCCAAAGATAGCACTGTAAGGCTTGTGTTATGGGTTGCTAGAGTAACGGATAGAATACATATACTGATACTTAAACAGCCGTCCAACTAGTGACGTCAACAATTTTTTTTTAGATTCCTCGCACCTGGGGATATCCGAAAATGTAAGTTCCGTTTTTAGTTTTAATTTTTTTTTTGTATTTTTAATGATTTCTGCCAGCGAGGTTTCAAATATTCTTATATTTTTTCGTAGTAGGTATTTTGCAGTCTTTTTTTTTGTGACATAATTGTCTTGAATGTTGTTTTAATAAAAAAAACCCCAACTTCCTGCAATTACTTAAAGTTATTAAAAAAAAGGCTTGGAAGTTAGATCTTTAGTTTTTAGTAGGATTTACTGAAACGTTCAACTTCAATTTAGAAGTACAAAAAGGAGTTTCCATAGGTTTTCGCTAAAATTAAAAATTCCGTATGCTTCTAAACTACCAAATATCATAAAAAAAATTGTACTTAATCATCCTATTTTTGTTGTAATTGGCTTTTAAAGGCTTAAAATTGGATAGGCTAAAAATCATTGAAACATAATTAAAGCATTAAAAAATATTTTATATACTTTTTATCATTGTTGTCTACTTTGTTTATGTCTTCGTTTAAGCATGCGGAGTTTTTATTTTTGCCAGAAGCTATGGAAACTCCTTTTCGTATTTTTAAGTTGAATGTTTGAGAAAATCCTACTAAAAAGTAAAGTTCCAACTTTCAAGCCTTTTTTGAGTAACTTTAAGTAATTTCAGGAAGCTGAGTTATTTTTTTTATTAAAACAACATTGAAGACAATTATTACACAAAAAAATGGATGCGTGTAACTTATGTACGCGCGTGAGAAGTTATACTTCTTTAGCATCATTAAAAATATTTTTTAATTGCATGCAAATAATTAATAATTACAATAAAATAATAAAAGGACTGGAAAAGGATAGTTAACACAGTCAATTAAGTTCAGTTTAAAACAATATACTGATGGTTTTTCTCATTTAATCTAAGTAAATAAGTTTTGTAACACCATAGTATTAAATATCACGCCGCCCGTTACTAGATGGCGCTGTACGCATGCGAATCGCGCTATCCTATACCGACACCGCTTGTATGGCACATCATAGGATCAAATATCATCACGCCGACCGCTACTAGATGGCGCTGTACGCATGTGAATCGTGCTATACTATACTGACACCACTTGTATAAGGTGTTCTTGGGAAATTGACCAAGTCATCGCTTCGTAGGTAGGGCCTATTGTCTTGCACGCTATACGCTTCCACCACGTGGGACGTCTTACACCCATATTCTTAATCGCGTCCTCAAACGTTCCTCGACTCGACTCATTCGAGGGCTCCTTAAGGAGTTCCTCCAAATAACCTCGAAAATGGTATTCTAGTTGGTATCTTGAACAAACTTGAGAATTCCTCCACTGAGAATTCCTCAACATTGTGACGTCATCATTTGGAGGATTTTATTTCTATAATAGTTAACAGAGGAAATATTACTTGTATGACTGTATCTTTTCTAAACCGAAATCTTCTTTGAAACGAATCATTGTCGTAAACCTTAAAAGGATTTGCGGCATCACGTAAATACCGTCGCGCCGGATAAATTATATGGTTAATCATCGTGTATGTGTTACTAAATAAATAAATCGTATACTTAATCCATAAAATCCACAAATTCGTCAATAATCTCAAAATCAGACATAATTCTCGATAAAAGCAACTTGAAAACACCACTCGAGGAAGCCTTAAGGTACGTCGAGAGCTACCTTGAGTTTGACAGTTTATTCCTCGACTCGACCTCCACTCGAGTGAGGAATATCTCAAGTGAAGGATATTTTTGTTGTCTAAGCATACGAATTTCCTCCAATGAGGTTGAGTCGAGTGGAAAAAATCTCGAGGAAACGACTAAGAATATGGGTGTTAGTGTCTTGATAATAGTATACATGTACTTCCACCCTTGTGGGATACAGTAATACCATTTCTCCTACAAATATTGAATAGTAATCACAATATAAGTATTTTCTACCTACGCCTATCTTTATTTGACGTCAGTCTTCTCACACTCCCCCTTCGCCCTCTCGCACATTCTTACAGTTTTATTAAATAATAAATATTATAAATATGAAAACAGTGATCAGAGGCGACGAGCGTCCCAACATGTGCGACTAAGAGATCCTATTACTATTTTGGAAGCTTTTTTTCGAGACTTACGAGTAATGTGCGGTTTAGCGGCCGACTTCATGGTGTTACTTTTCTGTTACAGTGTGGCGCGCGCATCTTAAAATTTCACTCTCATCATTTTTTCATAACGCGCCCGCGGCTAACTTCATTATGTTACGTTTGTGTTACAGTGATGCGCGCGCATCTTAAAATTTCACTCTCATAATTTTTTCATAACGCGGCTAAAGAAGTATAACTTCAAAAAAGACTGCAAAATACCTACTACGAAAAAAGGTATGGATTTTTGAAACCCCGCTGGTAGAAAGCATTAAAAATACACAAAAAAAATATAACTCGAAAACTAAGAAAAATTGCGGAACATACATGGGGTATTTTCGGAACCCCCCAGGTGCGAGGAATCTAAAAAAAATGTTGACGGCACTAATTGGACCACCCTGCATATTGTGATGACTTATTTTTCCACTAGCTGACACCGTTGACATGTGAAGGTTAAAGAGCGACATGTAATTGCTTCATAAATGAGAGTGAAAGAGACTACTTTAGTGCGCTCTATCGACGGCAGTTGCCAACGGAAGTTGGGGCGGGGACTACTTGTGCCATTTTAAAATGCAATAATGTTGGTGTATGACCTGTCTATATATTATACAGCATTGGTTTCCACCTAAACATCAAACTGGTATAAAGTCCTCTTTAATCAAATTTAAAGGATGCAATTGTTTTATTAAAAGTTGTAGGAATGGGTGGAAGTTCATTAGAATAAGAGCTAATTTCTTTTGTTCAGGCGGTTAATGTCCATTTCGTTACTTGCAAAATCGGGAGTGCAAATATTAGGTTTTTATAATTTTTATTATTTTAAAGCATGTAACTGCTTGATGTTTAAATCTAAAGAAAATATAACTAGAAAAAAATCCACGCGGACCAGGCAGCAAACGGGACTCGAACCCGCACCCTTCGCAATCCGGGCGAATGCACTGACCAATTATGCTACCGCGGCCCTCACGCCCGCGTCGAAATTCTTCTAGCCCTTCTTAAGCTGCTAGGCAGCGCCATCTCTTCGCATTATAGGTAACCGTTTTTTTTTAACATTAAGCAGTTACATGCTTTAAAATAATAAAAATTGTAACTATAATTGCTATTTCTTCTTTCAAATGTTTAATACATGTAAAAGTATTCATTTGACATTGTGGGTTACCTATAATGCGAAGAGATGGCGCTGCCTTTCAGCTTAGGAATGGCTAGAAGAATTTCGACGCGGTCCGTGAGAGCCGCGGTAGCATAATTGGTCAGTGCTTATTTGCGAGAAAAAGAGATGGCTATATAACCGACCATGCATTTGAATATCACATATATTTTCTATTAAATGAGTTTATAGTAAGTATTAGAACAAAATTTGCTACAAATGCGTAAATTAAAAAACATTCATTAGATACCTGTCGAAAAAACGACACTTTACGTACTACTATAAATATTATTTACGCATTTTTCACGGAGCTCTGCGGTATCTTGACTTTTCAACGGTCCCCGCGTGACTGTGAACCAAGAAGTGCTTGAGTGGTGTTCAAGCACTTCTTGATTTGAAATTAAGCGGACGTGGTGTAGTTAGGGTATTTAATATCGTTGGGACAGGACACTACTGTGCTTCTTGACCCTGAACCCACAATGGACCAAGTACGGAGTGTGCGTGCGGAAACGGGGAACGCCCACCATAAGTAATAACTAATAAGAGCCATCAGTTTCAAATTCTGGACTCATTGTGGAAACTAAAACAAAGTCCAGACGGGGGAACTACTGTCTCCCAGCGGCCTCCTATCAGGGGGTTCGTTAGTGGATACTGATCCCTTTTTACACATCGTAATAATTAAAATCATCAAAACCGAAATAACGTAATGTTTTTCGTCTTTTTCCTACGCTTTAACCCGGAATAATAACGCCGATGTACATTGTGTAAATAGACCTGTGAAAAGGTATCTAAAAAGTATAAGCATTGACTGCAAAATTAATAATTTATAGCACTTACACACGGATTTGTCTTATAGCGCCATATTTTCCAAAGATGTCATACATTTCTTCTGCTGATATTTTATATGGTAGATTGCGAATATATAAAATTCTGTTGACTTCAGGAGGCAGTCGGACCTAAACAGGGTACAATAATATTTATTAAACAACAAATAAAGTTAAAATTTCACCTTATTCAAGTTAGTGAGGAGTGAACAAAACAAATGAAAAGCAACTATGTGAAAAATCTATATAGCCGCAAAAAAAATTTGCTTTTATTACAGTTTTTTGGCCTTGGTGACAGGAAGAGTAATTTTTGATTGTTTTTTTTCATATGGTTTTTAAAGTAGCCTATATTTGCAACAATATGAGGCTATACTTTGTCTCAATAGTTTGTGACATTCTACATTAATTATGAGAGAAAAATAATTTAACAATAAATTAATTTAAATTATAAATATAATATTAGTAATAAAGAATAATCCACTCTTTATAATTATATTTATGGAATGTCCTTTACACGCTAATACAATTTACTCTGCTATGCCCAAATGGGTAACATAATTCGGTCGATTATATTATATACCTACCATCTCATGTACAATTATGATATGCATTAAATGTTTGACGTTGACTTTGACTTGCTCTCTTGCTGCTACTACCTTGTCAGGTGTAGTTTGTGTCGACTTGCAAAAGAAACACTAGTACACTCTATCAGACGTAATTGGGACTATAACCTGCTACATTCTGATATTTAATTCAACCATATTCTGACAGCTGTTATTTTACGTTATTTCAGATATAATAAGGTTTTTTTATATAGGACTTGTTGTGATGAAAAAAAAACCCTTACCTTATATTTTACTCAACGCAAACTGGTTATTTCCCATCATGATTTCTCCTCTACGTTGACTTTGGCAGAATTCATTGTAATAATTCATAATAACAAAGTGTTTATTATTAAAAAAATCTTTATATCTTTGATTTTTATTAATAAAATATATTTTAATTGAGGTCTATTAGCTCTCATGTGTGAAAAAGTGGCAGAATAATATATGGTACTTAATTCCATTATATGTAATTGAATTTCGGGGTAATTTGTAGGGGAGGGAGGGGGGGCTCCCCCCGACCCCCCCGCCAATGATTTTTGGCGGAAATGCAGTTTTTTTTTTTTACCTAACCTAAATATTCATAAAATCTGTTATATGTAGTGGAATTTCAGGGGGATAGGTATTAGGGAAGACCCCTCAGAGGGAAGGGTAACCCCCCCCCCCCCCCTCCCGGCGTATTTTTACAGAAATGATAATTATAAAAAATTAGAGTAGTTTTAAAGGTAAATCTGTACTTCCAGTGCCTAGAGGTGATATTTGATTTTTCTGTAGAAAAAGTCTATTAACAAATTTTTCTTTTGACAATGTACTATTGTACATTGTCAACAACAACATAATAAACTTATATTTACCATAGACAACGAGAAACATGTTATTTTTGCATAAAAAAATGGCAGCACTGATCATGAAAATTGCGAAAAAAAAATGTTGTCAAAATTGACTCATAACCTACAAAAATATTAATTTTCAATAATTTTTTTCTCGAGTTCTATTCGTTTCCGCCAAAAAAGATTTCGTGTACGTGTTTTTAATAGTTAATACTTTGCGTGACAAAGATTTCAGCTTGCAACTCAATTACATATAATGGAAAGGTGAGCCTAATATATGAGTGTAAATAAAACAGTTTAAGTGTTAATGCTAAGATTTATTTATAAGTAGTTGAATAAAAGTTACTCTACAGAGTCACAGATGTAACTTATTTTAAAACTGAAACAGTTAAGAGTAATTTGAAACAGCTACATTTACCCCCTCACTACAATAGCGACCGGCAACATAATTTTTTTCAAAATTTTTGACATGGCAATTTGCAAGAAAAAATAACAATTATTATTAAATAATTTTGTCCGTTTAGACTCGACTTTTTGACCACAGTGCAGCAGTTTTATGGAACCATTGAGCACCACTAGCCAACATATTATTTTGTCTGTGGGTTTATTAAGGTATTATTGAAATTCTTCATCCTTTACTCTGCGAAGTAATTATAAAATAAAAATCTGTTTCTTACGTCAAAGAACAGCAGTTACTTGCTTATTACAGCACTATTGTTCTTTTAACTTGACATTTCTGTGCAACTGGCCCTAAGTGTGTGATACTAGTCATACCTAATGTAGTTACATTTAATTATAATTATTTCAGGTTTCGCTAGATAAATACTAATATTTTATTACAATTTTACTTCATAACATGATAAATTAAATTTTTTACATAAATAACAATTAATGGACATTCAGATTTTGACCACTATATTCTATTTGAGGTGACAGACATCCAAATCAAAAGTGGGATATACTGTACTTCCAGGGCCCAAAAGTAAAAACTTCAGTTTTGTTGATTGTAATTTCGCATTTTTGTTGTTAAAAAGGTTTCTGTTAACCACATTATTTAAAAAAATGTCACACTTATGCACTGGTAGTTTTTTAGAAAAAAAAATTGAAAATTTTTACTTTTCTTATTAAGTGGTGATACTTCACACTAGGTTAGGTTAGGTTAGTGTTGTGACCATAACGCGCGAGCCGAGCGAGCAAAGCGAGCGTGCCGCGGCAGCGGCCGGCGAAGCGCCAGAAAAAAAAAACTGTTAAAAAGACCTTTTCTACAAAAAAAACAAGTATCACCTTTTGGGCCCTGGAAGTACAGTTTTACCCAAAAGTGTACCAATCAAAGCATTACAAGTAACAAAATAGCAATTGTATGAAAAATAAAACTAAATTAAAAACTATTAAGTAGGTAGGAACTTACATTCGCCCTTCGTTGCAAAGCCAAAGCCATGATGAAACTACGAAAATTTTTGAGATGTCTTTACTAGTTTTAATTCGTCAAGGGTTTCGCAGCCTTTAAAAAAAACTTATGCAGATAGCAGTTAAATATTGACATATATATTTTATTTTTATTTCCCGGTCTAAATTAGTAATTCACTTTTCGACTTAGTCTGTCAGCTGTCAGTAAGATTTTTTTTTTATTTTTTTTTGTTTTTGTTGAAGTTCTCCCGTTTTATGGGAAGCCAAAGGGAACAATGCCCATACAGCCTGGTCTTTAATAAAATTAGTCTTCTTTTTGTTTTTACATTAGAATGTCAGTGTGACGCATTCTAATGTTTCTTGGAGTGTTTGGCACGAAATGTATCGAGTTGGCTTTTTCGATAAGCTTCTGTGAGGTAGTCAACACTACAATAAGATTTTCACGTCCACTTGACCGGAATAGCGTATATTTTAACGATTCCACTAATTCTTCAGTTACGCAGACGGTTGTTACACAAAACCACACCATTTTTATTTCACAATATCCACTATGAACGAATTTAAGAATAATTAAAATAAGACGCCAAGTGCACTCGATGAAATCCCGCCAAAAACTCCGATTTTTTTTTATTTAAATAAGTTTTACGGCCTTGGAGATTCTGTCAGTAAGGGTACGGCCAGAGTGCACTCAGATTCAGATTCAGACTCAGAAAACAAGCGCGAGAAATAGTTCAAGCAGGTTGCCTGCTGCCACTATGGCAGTGTTGCCAGGTCCGATTTTAAAAATCGGGAGGCGTTATAAAAAAAAAACAGTAGATGTATGGAAAGACCTACAAGAAAAACAGTAGATGCAGAGGCGTACTTCTTCCGATTTGCACCCCCCCCCTCGCCCCTAGAATTGGTAAATCAAATGAAGATAAACTTAAGACCAGTAACAACACTGTGTTTCTGTGGCTTCTGCCGCCTCATAAAACTAGTGTTTTTTTAGACAATAGCATTTATTTTAAAATTAATAAAGTTACCTACATTATTTATGGCCGAAAATGTAACTCAACATGCAATTTAAAAAAGAAAATCGTATTTTAAGAAAAACAGGAGATTCGTGTACAAAAACAGTAGAACAGGAGAAATTTCAGAAAAACAGGAGATCTCCTGTAAAATCTGGAGACCTGGCAACACTGCACTATGGCCACGCTGCTTTAACTACATAGTCGAGTCAATAAAGACATAAAACAGGCAAAACTTGGAAACCCGGTGGAACAGCTCCGATTTTGAATTTTTTTTTTAAAAAATGGTTTTTTTATATTATTCAAAATCAGAAACCTTTGGAAGGGGGGAAATAATTTTTTTTTATTGTTTAAACAATATTTATGACATTTTTATAAAAAAATCACTTTTATCGCTTTTTTTGGAAACAATATTATTATGTTAATGTTAGTATAAAACATAGTTGTTAAATTGATTCTTTTTACGAATGCGTTGAGCACTTACGTTATATTTTAGTTACTTCATATATATATATTTTATAGATAGGTCCGACAAATGACTCCACCCCACCTGATGTTAAGTGAAGGTGAAGTCCAGACGCGAAGATAGCTGATACAGCAGTTCTACCTGCCACACAAGCCATCCTCACCCTGCCGGCCTGCATGTTGCTTCTTCACGCCTCTTTTAAAGGATCCCAGGTTGTAAGAAGGAGGGAACACGTGAGCGGGCAGAGCATTCCATTTACGGATAGTGCTACAAAGAAATGAGTCACCAAATTTCTTTGTACGCGTTGGAATTGTGGTCACAGTAAGACGGTGACGGTCAACGTAGGCCAGCGCGCGAGGTCCTCTGAAGGAAAGGGGAAGGTGGGATAAGAGAGAATAACTCCTCAGAACACTCGCCGTGGTACAGACGTTAGAACGCGCTTAGTGACGCCACGTCACGGCTCAAGGTGTTGAGTCACCTCCTCATCGCCTATGATGCGGATCGCGCGCCGCTGTAACCTATCCAAAGCATCGAGCAAGTACTTGGCGGAGTCATCCCAGAGGTGCGAGCAATATTCCACGCAGGACCGCACTTGCGTTTTGTACAACAAGCACAGTTGATCGGGCGTGAAAGAACGCCGCACCTTGTTCAGGACTCCGAGTTTGCGTGAAGCTGTTTTGATCACGATTTCGATGAAGTCCTTTGGATTCAGGTCTGAGCGAACTTCCATACCGAGCATGGAAATGTTGCTCTGTAGCGGTAGTGTTTTGCCCTGAAGATGATAAATAAATAAAATAAATATAAAATAAGATGACGGGTCAGATGGTTATTTGGTTATTAAGGAGCTCTTCTAGAACATAAAACTGAGATGACTGCTATTGGCCGGTAGTTTGCCGGGTCTGAGCGATCCCCTTTTTTGGGCACCGGTTGCACGTTAGCATCTCTCCAAGTCTCCGGCACACGCCCCAAAGAATACGAGCATTGGTACAAGCGCGTGAGCACAGGAGACAACTCCGTTGCACATGTTTCATCCTTACTTTTCATCCTTAAAGTGTCCATAATTGGTGCAATTAAGTTATACAACATAATTTAATCTTAATATTTTGGCATGTGTATGCCAACCTTAACATTTATTCGTCACTATTATACGCTACTCAACGTCACCGACGCGTAGAAGTTTCTACGCCACCAACACAATACTTCTGCGCCATATCAGCAAAAAATGGCGGCCTGACCCATAAATTGCATTTATATATATAAGTATGTTAGAGGATTTTGACGACAGTTTTTTTTTCTTGTTCCTCCACATCGTCTAGTTATATCAGTGCTGACAACGATTCCACTATGACTCTGTCCGATAAATTGTCTTCCATTCTTTCTAAACAACGCAATGCCTTCAATGTGCAAAGCATTCCTGCGCATCATTCAGAACTTCTGGCGTCTATTAACAGCTCCACAGTCGATGCTTTTCTTGTAACCGAATCTTTCCTTAAACCTTCTCTTCCTTCATCTCAGTTCGCACTTCCAGGATTTAACCTTATTCGCAATGACAGGACCGGCAAGTGTGGTAGTGGAGTAGCAATCTACCTACGCACCGACATTCCGTTCCGTGTTATTAGCACTTCTCCATCTGTTTATAGTGCGGCAGCGGAGCATTTGTTTTTAGAAGTATCTATTCGCCAAACAAAATTACTTCTCGGTGTCTTCTACTCTCCTAATCTATATATCGACTACTTTGATACTTTTGATAAACTCCTTGATGCTTATAGACCAACTTACCAGCACATCATAATCATGGGTGACTTCAACACATGCCTTCTGAAATCCAATGTACGTTCCTCTAAACTTCAATCTATTATTTCTTCTTATAATTTACATGTTCATCCTACATCTTCCACTCACCATTTTCCTAACTGCGTGCCCACACAACTTGACCTAATGATTATTTCTTCTCCAGAGAAAGTGGTAACTCACAGGCAAATGACTGCAAATTTTTCCTATCACGATCTCGTCTTCCTTTCATATAAACTTAGTACCACCAAACCACCCAAACGTAAACCCCAATATATAATGCTGCGAAACTACAAAGGTATTAATTTGAATTATTTGCGACGTGATGCTGAAAATGTGGATTGGTCTTTAGTGTTTCAGGCTCCCTCCATTGATGAAAAGGTCAGTAAATTTAATTCACTGCTACTTGGCTTATATGACCTGCACGCACCTTTAAAATTAATTAAAATTAGACATAAACCTGCTCCTTGGATCAACGAAGAAATCAAGGAACTTATGGCACTGAGGGATAAAGCGAAACGGAGAGTTAAAAACCGCCCCTCTGATGACAACCTGGTTCGCTATAAGGCCCTACGCAATCGCTGCAGTCGTATGTGTAGAGATGCTAGGAGACGGTTTTTTCATGATTCTCTTAGTAACCGCAATACAGCAGATACCTAGCGTTTCCTTCGATCAGTCGGTGTGGGCAGGCCTTGTTCCTCTGTCCCAACTGGCACTGACATAAATGCTCTGAACAGACATTTTTCTCTCCCTCCAGTCAGTATTGATAACAGCGACAAGGATATTGCTCTTAAGAAACTATCAGAACTTGCTAGACCCAACTGCCTTCTATTTGACTTTTCGATGGTTTCTGAAACTGACGTCAAGAATTCTATTCTGTCCATATCTTCCGAGTCCATTGGCGACGATAATTTGAGCTCGAGAATGTTTATTCTCCTTGTCATTCAAATGTTTTCCCAAAATTTGGAAAAAGGCACACATTATTCCTTTACCTATAATTTCTAATCCTACATTACCTTGCCACTTTCGTCCCATTTCCATCTTACCTTTTCTTTCCAAAGTTCTCGAGCACATAGTCTACAAACAAGTTCCTCAATTTCTTCTTTCCAACAGTCTCCTGAATCTTTATCAGTCCGGATTCCGGCCAGGACACAGTACGACCACTGCCTTAGTGAATGTCACCGATGATATTCGCTGGGCAATGGATAACAAAGCACTTACTGTCCTAGTATTGTTAGACTTTAGCAATGCATTCAGTTCTGTAAATTTTGACATTCTCCTTGCTATTCTTCATTCTTAAAATGTCTCTTCTTCTGCTCTTTCTTGGTTTGATTCCTATCTTCGGGGTCGCTCGCAGTGTGTTCGTCTTGATGACACAACCTCTGATGGATGTGAACTCAGTGTGGGTGTACCTCAGGGAGCTGTTCTCTCGCCACTCCTATTCTCCATTTTTATCAACCATTGTTATAAGAGTTATCTCCTCCAAGTTCCATCTCTACGCAGATGACTTGCAGCTTTATCGCCATTTCAATATTGACGAAGCGGACTCCGCGATAGCAGCCATTAATGAGGACCTTAACCGTATCAGTACTTGGGCAAAATTTAATGGTCTCTCTGTTAATCCCTGTAAATCACAGGCGATCATTATAGGGAGTAGGTATATGTTTAATTATATCCGTTCGTTTCATTTGCCACCCGTTTCAATATGTGGAATCAATATTCCTTATAGCGAAACGGTGAAAAATCTCGGAGTGACAATTGATTCCA